TGGCTGTCCTGTCTCTAGTGGAAACAGTGGCTGCTGTTCAGTGGCCGTCTAACATTAAAATAAGACTGTGTTGATATTCAGTCTTTGGATCTGACCACAGATCAGTCGATGTGCGGCTCTTTGGTCACATGATGCCTGACAGAGTCTGTTAGTTTTCCCACAATTCCCACCATGCTGCTCCTTTCCACCTGGGGGCAGCATGGTATCGTTATTTTACCTTATGTTGTGTCAAGCGCTGTATCCCAGAGAGGGAAGAGGATTCATCAGTTGTTGGTTTAGTTTGTCTGGTTTTCAAATGGTCAGATTTACATTCTGCTGCTCAAACTAACACTCAGTAGTTTTCAGATCCGTCTCCAAAGATCGTCAGCAAATCAAAAAATCCAATTTGAAATATTCCATCGTATGAAAAGCTTTGAGTTCAAACTTGTACCTGTGTGTGAATGTACGTGTGAATGAGTGAATGGCAATAAACTGAACTGTAAAGAGCTTTGAAAAGAAAACCGACATATAAATTCAGACCATTCTCCATTTATGCATCAAAAGTATAAAACACTCTCTTTTCCTGAACACTTCTTCTACACCCAAAGTATTCACAGGTTTTTTAAATCCAGATGAACCTGCTAGAAAAGCAATTGACTCTTTGCCCATTGCCACTAGAGGAGTTTGTCTTTTCCATCGCAGACAAAAACCAGATGTTTATGAGAGTTAGAGTCCAGTGAACATACATTTTATTGCCGTGTACATCAAGAGGCAAAAAGAGATGTGATATGAGTCTTATGGTGCTCACACTTCCTCATGGCGAGGCTGTATCTGTATTCACTTAACCATTACACAATCCCTCTGCTACATTTCTGAATTACTGCTCCCCTGTGAGCTGCAGCGGAGCCTCAGGTCCTCCGGAGTGGCTCCGCGGGCTCGTCCTGAGGTGATCGAGTCAAAGCTCCTCAGCCCTGGAGCTTCCTGCCAGGAAATCTGAGGCTGCAGAATCACTGACATCTTTAAAATCACCTCTTAAACACCATTTTTAATACAAACATGCTTTTTCTTTTCATTAGCCTCAGTCCTGGAATGTTTTAATCCAGTTGCCAAGTGCTGTTTAAATGAAATGTGTATTTTGCTGCATTTTATCGTCATTATCATCGTAAAGTATTCTGCTTTTTAACAGATGAAGATAATTATTTGTTATGACGTTGCAGCATTTGAAATATTACAAAATACAGAGTTTGAATTATTATTATTACACATGGTGGAAAATAACTCAGTGAAATGAACATTATTATTTAATTTTATATCTTAACCAGCTCTGATGTCAGTGTCTCTCTCTGCAGAGAAGGTTCCTGGAATTTCTCCGCCCCCCCCCGAGGGAGAAGAAGAAACCTCCGGCCCCCGACCCAGCCAGGTTCTGTGTTCACTCACTGAAAGATCACGAACCGTAGTTTCATGACTTGTTATCTCCGTGGTGTGAAAACTGCTCTCAGCTGATTTCCTGCTTCAAAAAAACCCTGAACTCTGCTGCAGCTGTTTCCATCACAGCAGCAAAGTTTCCCACCAGATAAACCATTAAATAAATAACTCTGTACTTTTTAGAAATGGTTTTAATCACACAGTGAAATAACTTCTTATCCTGTGCTCTCACTTTACGTTCAGTGATGTTCAGTTATATGCAAAACTGTAAGCTATACATTAGACGTTCAGATTCTTATCCATTACGTAACAACTCCAGGGAGGAGTCTGATAAGTTCAAGACCTGTTCTGCAACGAGCCAAAACACACAAGAGTCATAAAGAACTGTGAGTCATGATCTCATCTGCGTTCAAGACAGAAACTACATTCCTCCTTTCCCTGATTGGTTTCTCGAAAGGATTCATTTCACACACGGAGAGCACAACACTTTCTCTTGGTCCAAATACAGAGCTACATGTAGAGTGAACCTTGTATTTACATGAATCTGATGGTTAAAATCTGGTGAAGTGATTATTTCTCTGTAATTCAGTGAAACTAAGCAACTGGTCACCAACATGTTCATCAGCTTTATCAGGTAAAGCTCTGTCAGTGTTGGGTCCACGGTGCGTTTCCAAAGTGCCAATGTTTGTGCAATATTAAAAAATGAATTGATGTTATCTATTAAAAAAGGTTTGTTGTTGCTGTGTTCGTCCTTCAGGAAACCCTGAGGTCGTCCAGCTCAGTATCTGCCTCTGCAGACAACTGAACGGTAAAGTCAACGTTAAGATTCGCTGATCTGTTTGTGACAATTCAAAGCCATTTACATGGAGGCGACCCTCTCTACGGAGGCCGCCATGTTTTTTACATTAGTCCAGACTGAACAAACTAAAACCTTTTGAGTTTTTATGACAACTGAAGCTGCCACAGGTTGTTTTTCATGTTTGGAATGAGAGGGTGAGTCGAGGGGTGTTCAGCTGCAACATGAAACCTCAACACTAGATATCACTAAACTCTACACACTGTACCTTTAAAATGTGTTTTTCAGAATAATTTCTGAATCTAGACTGAGATAAGATACAGCATTTTTCAAGATAAATAACAGAAACAATTAACTGGACGTCAAAATCATTGTCAACATGGTATTTTATATATTTTTAAATTAATAGTTTCAGCCCTACTCATCAAGGATTCTGTTTTTACTAATGTGATGAACGATGTCAAGTTCTTGAGACACAAGCTGGTTGACGTTTAATCAGAGTTGAGAGAATTTGTTCTTCACAGGAAGATAAAAGACTCAAAGAATGCAGCTTCATAATGATCAGCCTCATTAAAACACCGAATCACAGAGCGGAGGCGCTCTACGCTGCCACAAGTGTGATAATCTCAGCAGTGTTTACAAAATGTTTGGCCAACCTGAGGCCAAAGGTCGGACTGCTCAACCATGACGGCCTGCTTACTTTGAACTGTCGCCACTGTTTAGAAATCAATGAGCCTTACAGCGAGGAGAGGCGGAGTTCTGGACAGACAGAGGATAACAGGCGCGGCAGGAGAGGACTGAAAGCACAAAGGGAGACGCAGAGGACTAGAAACATCTGCAGCCGTCCGACTCTGGCATGATGGAGCTCTACCTCGACCTCATCTCACAGCCCTGCCGCTCTGTCTTCCTGTTTGCCAAAGCTGTCGGGATTCCCTTCGAGTTTAAGGTCGTGGATCTCGCTTCAGGTAATTCCACAACGTCAGACAGACACAGGGGGAGAGATGAGAGATTATGAATTCATGCGTTGTGGATTGTTGCATGTTTATTTAAGGGATTTCGGGCCTTTATGTCCCATTCGGTATTTACAAATAGTATTTTGAGCTCTGGACAATGTGCAGGAGGATCCCAGATGTTTGAGGAGTTTGCAGAGTTGAGTGACCTCGACTCAAAGTCTTGTTGAATAAACTCCAGCTCCAGTTATATTTCCTGCCACTTCGTTCAAATGTGTGAGCGCAGTTCGCAGAAGCTGGGAGTTGAACGTCCTGCAGACTTTGAACTTGTTCCGAGCAGTTTATCAGTTTTTCATTTTTTACATTTGAACCCAGAAAGCAGGACAGTCTCAGTCAGTCAGTGAGGTGACAAGCAGAGTTACACAAACTCCTAGATAACAGACTTCACAAGCGACCGGTGGGTGGCATGTTGCGGGTCAAAAGGTCCGAGCTTCCAGACAAAACATCACAGCATCCCTGAGGTGAGTGAGTACAATAGAGACGTGCTGGGAAAAGAAAATAAAGGACAGAGAAGCGATTCAATGCAAATAACAAGGACAGGAAATGTTTCCACAGTGAGATATTTGAATAATTATGGAACAATCACTTCACTCAGTTATGTTCTGTGTGTTTAAAAATGTCTTCTTATTTCCTTCTTGACTTGTGTGTCGGTCTCAGGTCAGCAGTACAGCGAGGAGTTCGGCAAAGTCAGCGTGATAAGGAGGATTCCTGTCATGAAGGATGGAAGCTTCATTCTGACTGAAAGGTACAACGAAAGAATTTACAGCAGAAAACAGCTTCAGCTAATTTAACACCATCGTTCAAGTTCGTCAGTTACTCTGACGTCAGAACATGAACTTGTCCTTGAGTGTCTCCACACTGTCTGTGTTGCAGTGTCGCGATTCTAAAGTACTTGGCGCAGAAATATTCGTCGTCAGTGGCGGATCACTGGTACCCGGCTGGCCTGCAGCAGCGAGCGCGTGTTAATGAATACCTGTCCTGGCAGCACATGAACCTCAGAGCTCACGGGTCGAAGGTCTTCCTGCTCAGGGTACGAGTCCCGGATTGCCCCAGTGCAGTAACTTCCCATGACCTACTTGAGAACACTCATTTCAACTTCTTGTAGTTCTTCACATCGTAGTTATTTTATAATCCATACTCTCTCACAACTTCTAGATCTGTTACATACTTCTACAGTTTATACATCAATTTATACCTGAGATGTGTTTTAATATTTTGACATATTTCTATAAAGTTTTGACCTTACATCATCATTAATAATACGAGACTACAACTAAACACAACAACAAATTATTTTCTACCAGTCCATCCAGCAGATGTTGAGTTTCAGGATTCTATAGATTCAATCCTGCACAAAGAATCAATGTGAAATTAATTTTACATGGTTGTGGGACCGTGTAACGTTCATCAGTTCAATTTTCAAACATGATAAATCAGGTGATTACACGTCTGCGTCTCCTCTGTGAACAGGCCCTGTTTCCTATCATCATGGGCTCTGAGGTGCCAAAAGACAAGATGGACGCTGCCATCGAGGATCTGACGCAGTCGCTCAACCTTCTGGAGGAGAAGTTCCTGCAGAACAAACCGTTCATCGTCGGAGACAAAATCTCTGTGGCCGATCTGGTGGCCGTGGTCGAGATCATGCAGGTAAGTTTCTACAGATGTGACTGATCCCAGTTTCTCAGCATGGGACCTGTTGCACAATTTCTTCTGTGGCTCTGAAGGGAGTTTGAGTTGCACTGTGGGAAATGAGGGGTCCAGCACATTTGACCCAGTGATGTAGGAGGATAAGTGATGAGACATAATTCGCAGAAGGAATTCAGGTCTAACTGTGTCTCAGACGTCTCTGCACATTTTTGTGGTTGTGACTGAAGATACATGTGTCGCTGCAACGTCTCTCGGAAACCTCAGCTTTCACAATCACATCAAATCTGTGGTTCGCTCCTGTTTTCTGCTGAAAAACCCAAATAATCGAAATAACTTTATTTTCCCAGCGTTGAAAACTGAGGCTAAGAAAAGCTGCAGCAGCTCTGGTCGATGGTTTTCATGTGCTTGTGTTTGTGAAGTGAATTCATGTCAGTGTTTTTAAGAAGAAACATTGTGCGTCGTGCATTTCGCAGCCTGTGGGAACCGGCCTGGACGTGTTCGAGGGTCGACCGAAGCTGATCGCCTGGAGAGAGCGGGTGAAGAAGGAGCTCGGCGAGAAGCTGTTCGACGAGGCTCACGAGTCGATCATGGCCGTGAGCAGTCTGCCGGAGAAGATGCAGAACAACACAGAGCTGGCGATGCTCATTCCAAAGTTCCAGAAGATTTTCAAATGAAGACGATTATCAACAGCATCTCCTTCGTTAATTTTCATGGTTGTGTTGATTCTGTTTTTTATCAGTACTGAGAAAACTTCTTTTCAGGTGGTTAAAGATTTTCATGCAATAAAATCATCAGTTGTATAAAATGGAAACTGTGGAACTCTGAAGTTTTCTTCTAGAACTCTTCAACTGGAACAGATCACTGTGTCATGTTCCCTGTTGAACTGATCCCGTCCCACAAATATTAAAGTGAAGCGTCAACATCTTATCTTGCAACTGATGATGTCACCGATCACTTGTCCCTCGCCATAATCACCTCAGAGGTCACATGGGGTCAAAACAGACATGTGATGACATCTCATTGGTTTTATTTTGTGTATAACTTATACTTTTTGTATTAATTGTGGTGATAACTGTTTATTTTGTTTGAAAAATGTTCTTTAATTTAGAAATCATGTCATGATCCGTCCAGGGGTCGTGACCCTTAGTTCGGGAACCTCTGCTGTGTTTAAAACACTTCCTGCTTCTGATACTTTCCTATGAACCAAGCTTTTAATCACAGAAACGGTAAATGTAAAGTGCAGATGGGAATATTTTGAGTGAGCGTTCTCAGTGACTCACAGACTCTCCTTGTTTTCTCCGGTTACCCCCCCTCACATCACATCAGCCCACGCTCAAACAAAAAGCTCTTTATCAGGAGGACGAGCAGGAAGTCACTGAAAACATGTTTGATTCTTGTGTCATTTACAGATAAGATCAAACAGTTTTTATCAAACAGGGAGGATTTCCTGCTTTGAGTTTGTTTGTGCAGAGTGAAGAAGTTTATTAAATCATTTTCAGTCTGTGAACTGATTTCAACATAATCCAGAGAAGACAACACTGCCCCCTGGAGCACAGGATGTCTACAGATCATTTAATGTTTTAAAATGTCTTCAGTTAAATATAGAAACATCCTAAATATCTGCGCTGTTTGCATTAATGTGAGTTATAATATTATATGATATAGTTTATCCTCTCATCCGTTCCTGCTTCTTATCCAGGTCCAGGTTGTGTTTGATAGATGATTTAATCAGGAACTGTCGTCATCAGGGATGCAAACAACAGTTATTGCATTATGGTTTAATCATAAATAAACAACAAAGTAAAAATACTGTTCCAGCACAAACAGATTCCAGACCTGTTAGACTGAAAAACACATTCAAAGACTTGGAAGAAGCACAAGTGACCCCTCAGATGCAGATTGGAGTTAGTAAGGCCTCTGTCATAGTTTTAATTTTGTTCTACAGATTCACACTTGTTTATTACTTAATTAATAGTTTTCTATAATACATTTAACTCAAGTTAAAACCAGCTCCAACAGTAAAATGCTCGATATTATTTATAATGAAATAAACCACAGGGGACATGTTTCTGCAGAACAAAGACTTTGACTTTTAATACTTTCAGTGCATGTAGTAGATTGTAGTAGATTGTAGTAGATTGCAGTAGAAGGATGCATATTTCAGTATAAGTCTGTGTACTTGTACTGCAGTTGTGTTTGTGACGTCTGAGGCTGCAGCAGCTGCAGGAGTCAGAGTCTGGACATGTGACCGTCCACAGGAAGGGGAGCCAAGGAATGAGTCAGAGTCCTCCTCCAGGAAATACCCTGATCCACACAGCTGCACCTCCTCCTCCTGCTCCTCCTGCTCCTCGGTACCATGCCGTGCTGCCGTGTCCTCAGTCTGTGTCAGTATGAAACCAACAAGCTGGTCCGGATCCAGAGCGTCCGGCTCGGGTCTCTGAAGTGGAGCCTGAACGGAGCCATCCTGCTGGTGATCTGGTGAGTGGATGAATAATCACCGACTGTCTGTGCTTCTGCGCTTCGTCTTCATCTTCCTCTGCCTCATTCGCTAAAGTTTTATCTTATCTTCTTCATCATCTTCATCTCCTCCTCCTCCTCCTCCTGATCTCATGTCCTGCTCCCGCTCAGACTGTTTCTCCACATGTGAACTGAATCCACTGGAATCTGTGTTCTGGAGTTTAATGATGTGTTAGTGGACGCATCTTAGAAGAGACTTTATTTTACTTAACGTTCAACGTGTGTTTGTGTGTGTGTTTCTTTTAAACACATAGTTTAAAAGTTGGATTTTAAAAAATTAAAATAGAATAAAAGACGGAAAAGATAAAACAAAAACTTTAAAGACGAGACAGAAACTGTGCAGAGACGAGACAGAAACTGTGCAAAGACGAGACAGAAACTGCAAAGATGAGACAGAAACTGTGCAGAGACGAGACAGAAACTGTGCA